TTCTTATTTTTCAGAACCTGCACCAGCATACTGAACGCGGGTGCGAAGCTTCGCCTGACGCCCTTCCAGGATGAGTCCTCCCGCTCCTTCGCGTCCAAAAACCTGGCCACAGGATAAGGCTGCCCTGCGCCTGCAAGGCTCCTTGCTATCGGCGGCTGGTAAGGTGAGGCCCGTTGCGGAGAGCGGACGTTGAGGTTCACCCGCTGCCGGTCCTGCTCGAGGCGTTCATGGATGGTGGCAAGCAGCTTCTCTTGATTCGTCAGGCGCTGGTCCATGGCGGTGAAGAGGCGCGCCAGCTCGGTGCCAGGGGAGGAGGAGGCCTCGACGTATGCCCCGAAGAGGCGGCGTGGGTCCTCAGGCGCGCGCACCGCCAGCTCCTCTTGAAAACCACGATTCCTGCATACCTCATCCACAAGTGCAAGATCCCCACCGAGAAACCTGCCCCCGCGGAGCCGGCTGCAGGCGACGATGGGCCGGGCTTCGGGCTCGAGGGAGACGCAGGGGGAGCTCAGTGAGATCCGTTGTGCCGAAGAGAAGCAGCAGGAGCAGTTGCTTGCAGGGATGATCTAGGTAGCAGCACGCCGGCCCCAGAGACGCCTGTAAGCCCGCGCCTCCGTGTCGCGGCAGGGTGCACTGAGAGCGCGCGCGCGCGTGCCGGGGCAGTAAAACACAGCGGATCTATCAGCATGCATGGAAAAGAACGAGCGCCAGTTGCATGCGTTTCAGAATGCTGTCATGATCCATCACCTTCCTGCTTCCTAAGTACGAGCTGCTTTCAGGCATGTGTGCTCTTGTCTTTGTGCTCCGCCAGGTGTGCTGCCTTCCCCAGAACTCTCCCAGGCCCTCTCCGGCTCCATGAGGCAGAAATTGAAACTCTGGAAAGCATGGACAACGGGGCTGCGCATGCAAGGTCGGGACCACCCCCTTGGTGGCCAGCCCAGAGCCAGTTGACACCGAAAATGAAAACCCACGCGCCAGGGCTGCGCAATTTCGGGACCACCCCTTTGGTGGCGAGCCCGCGCGGATATCTGATAAGTGTGTATGAACAATGTTGTGGACCTATGGACCTGTGGACCTATGGACCTGTGGACCTATGGACCTCTGGACCTATGGACCTGTGGACCTATGGACTTGTGGACGCAGCCGACCTGTGGACCTATGGCCATGTGGACCCAGCCGACCTGTGGACCTAGGGACTTGTAGACCCAGCCGACCTGTTGACCTATGGACCCGTGGACCCAGCCGACCTGAGGACCTTTGGACCTGTGGACCCAGCCGACCTGTGGACCCAGTCGACCTGTGGACCTATGGACCTCTGGACCTGTGGACCTATGGACCTGTGGACCTATGGACCTGTGGACCCAGCCGACCTGTGGACCTATGGACATGTGGACCCAGCCGACCTGTGGACCTAGGGACCTGTGGACCCAGCCGACCTGTGGACCTGTGGACCCAGCGGAACTGTGGACCTGTGGACCTGTGGACCCAGCGGAACTGTGGACCTATGGACCTGTGGACCCAGCCGACCTGTGGACCTATGGACCTGTGGACCTGTGGACCTCTGGACGTCCGGACCTGCGGACCTAGGGACCTGTGGACCCAGCCGACCTGTGGACTTATGGACCTGTGGACCCAGCCGACCTGTGGACCTATGGACATGTGGACCCAGCCGACCTGTGGACCTAGGGACCTGTGGACCCAGCCGACCTGTGGACCTGTGGACCTATGGACCTGTAGACCCAACCGACTTGTGGACCTATGGGCCTGTGGACCCAGCCGACAAGTGGACCTACGGACCTGTGGTCATATGGACCTGTGGACCTATGGATCTGGACCCGTGGACCCAGTCGACCTGTGGACCTGTGGACCTATGGACATGTGGACCCAGCCGACCCGTGGACCTGTGGACCTATGGACCCAGCCGACCTGTGGACCTAGGGACCTGTGGACCCCAGCCGACCTGTGGACCTGTGGACCTGCGGACCTATGGACCTGTGGACCCAGCCGACCTGTGGACCTATGGACCTGTGGACTTTTGGACCTGTGGACGTATGGACCTCCGGACCTGTGGACCTATGGACCTGTGGATCCAGCCGACCGGTGGACCAATGGACCTGTGGACCCAGCCGACCTGCGGACCTATGGAACTTTGGACCTATGGACCCAGTGGACCTATGGACCGGCGGACCCAGCCGACCTGAGGACTTGTGGACTTGTGTACTTACGGACCTGTGAACCTCTGGACCTGTGGACTTGTGGCCCCAGCCGACAGGAACTATGGGGCTTAGGGCTCCATGGACCTCGCGCTCAATCAGTGGCAGTTTTGCAGGCTCAAGCTGAGAAAGAGTGCCGCTTCAGCTTTCTTCACGCTTCAAGGCCCCCAAGCCTCCCCTAGCTCCAATCTACTTGCAATGCCGCTGTCGCCTGCAGAAAAAAGCAAAAATTCGCTATCGACAAGCCCTCGAAAGGGGGGAGGAGCCTCCGCCTCCTCGCACTGAGGCTAACAGAGCCCTCCTGGAGGAGGTCCGCGCAGAGGTGGAGCAGGGCAAGGCGTCCATCCGCGCCCAGGCCAGCAAGGGCGTGAAGCGCGTTCGGCAGGTCAGCGCCGAGGAGGAGGCTCGGCTCAAAGAGGAGCTCAACGCGGACGGGGCGCGGATCAAAGAAGAGCTCAAGGCGGAGGGAGCCGCGCAGCGGAGGCTGATGGCGGAGGAGACTGCGGCCCTGGCCGCGTGCCCCCCGGGCGCCCTCCGGGCATCCTCCCGGCATCTGCCGCTGGGCACCACAGCGGAAGGCTCGGGCGGCGGCAGCAGCAGCGGTGGAGCCGCGCCGCAAGCCGCACCGGAAGCGCCAGCAGAAGCACTTGCCGAGGAGCCAGAGCCTGCGCCGACGGGTTCGCAGACCGCCGCCCATTCTGCAATGCTCCCCATGCGCTGCGCGGCGCTCGCGCCGGAAGCTGCAAGGGAGGACATGGGCGCCGTCCCTGCTCCAGCGGAGAAGAGCCAGGTCAAACAGAAGGCACCCTTGCCGCCGAGCGCCCAAAGCTCTGTCGTTGCAGGTGAGTCGGCGCTCCACCAGCAACCTGCTCTTCCGACGGGAACGGCCGCGGAGCACCCGACGCTGCCGGAGACGCTTGCCAAGTGCTCCCCCAAGGAGCAGTGGAGGTTGGAGTGCGAAGCCACAGAGCGCGAGTAGCAGTTGCAACAGGAAGCCCAAGATTCGCGGCGTCATGCCGCGGAGCAGGAGCGCGCGCGTCTGGCTCCTGAGGGGCTGCGGCATTTCCGCCAAGAGTACGAGCGCCTGGCCGTGCAGCACGCCTGGCCCGCATTACCCGAAGGTGGAGCGCTGCCAGGCAATATCGCCGAGAGCTTGGACTGGTCCTTCCGTGAGGACACGCAATTCCGGAAGGCCCTCTTTGCCAGGCTGACGGCCGCAATGCCGAAGCAGGCCACGAGCCAATGTCGTGGGTGCCAGAACAACGCGGCTGAGATGCGCGCAATCCCTGAAGCACTCCTCGCCTGGGCGCCCGGCGCCTGGGATGTCGCTTGCGCCCGCCACAAAGCGCTGAGCGCAGTTGAAGAGGTCCACTTGGAGACAGACCTTCGTCTCGAGTGGGCGGAACAGGCGCTCCTGTTTGCCGTCGCCTCCCAGAAGCGGCAGGCTGAGGAAGCCGAGCGCCAGACTCGCCAGCAAGACGCGCGAGGCACAGGCTCGGCCGGAGAAGACGAGGCGCTTAGCCGTGGAAGAACAGGCACGCAAGGAGCTCAACCCCAAGGCAAGCAAGTGCCGAAAGTGTGAGGAGGCAGATTTCGTATTTGGCGGCCTATGCTCCGAGCATGAAAAAGAGCTGCAGGCGCTCAAAGAGAGCTTGGCCGCAGACGATGAGGGCTTGATCGCAGTCGCTTCGCGCTGGGACGAAGGCGCCTCCAGCGATTCCAGCGCGGAGTGACTGATTGCCTCCGCCGACGCTGCGCGCACGGCGCTACTCCCTGGACGCGTCAGTTTGGGGACGTTTCCATGGCAGCACCGACGTCGTGCGTGAGAAAAGGCCGAGCCGATTCCTGCCGCGGCGAGGGGCGGCGCCGAAGCAGTGAGGGCCCGCAGAAGGAGCCGCGCGGGTGTCTACAGCTGGCGGTCGCTGAGGATTGCCAGCGCCGTTAAGCGAGAGAGAAAAAAGGGATGGAGCGCATGCGTTTGGGAAGGAAGGTCATGGCCTGGGCAGGGAAAGGGCCAGGCGGGTGCAGCACGCACAGGTGTAGATGGACGGGGTCTTCGTGGAGAGATAGTACAGCCGTCTAGACTGAGAAAACGTACTGGGAAGCAAATTGGAAGCACATGTTTACAGACGGACAGACAGAGAGACAGACGGACGGACGACCTTGCACACCAGGAAGGTGACTGCGTGCATTCTGTCGTGACTCTTTTTTTGTTGGCGCAGGAGCGTTGGAGATCTGCAGTTACTGTCTCTCCGCCCTACCTTCTGCCGCCCCGCGCTCAGCATAAGCCCACGTATGTCAGGACTGCTCCATGGCCACTTGCGGATGCTTGCGCTCTCCCGCGCTCCTCTTTGAGGCGCTTGCCTGCTTCCAGCCACTCCAGCGCAGGACTGCTGGCGCACCTCAATATTGCATCTGCTCTCTCCTGGATCCTTCGGCTCCTGTCGCGCAGCGCCATGCTGCTTCGTAGCGAACCTACGGTGCTTGCAGGCCAGCGCCTCGCGGTTTTCGGCGCCGCTTCTTGTTTGTCCGCCACCCGGTACTCCTCGCGCACCCTAATGTACTCTCGTAGAGGATTGGGCCAATCGCGTTCCTTCAGCGGAACCGTCGGCGTCCAGGTGAAATTCCGGCCCGCGCCATACCAGCCAGGTGGGCATCCCGCTCGTGTCGAGCTCGAAGGTGCGGCGCGCTCCCTGCCAGAGAAATGCGCCCGTGACCGTGTCGCGACGGATCAGGTTCTTTGTGTACCGCAGCACCCGAACGTAGACGAATTGCGCTCCGGAGGACATGGCCGCGGTGACTGTGACAGTTACGACCCTGGCGGGCCCATGCGCGCTGACCGTCGAAATCTTGTGCGCGACCGAGACGGCTGGTGGCTTGAAGCGACAAATCCAGGCCAAGTGCGGCATGCCTCGCTTCCAGCAGCGCCTCCTGCTCGGGGAGCGCTCGCTGGGCAACGACGTCATCCTGGCGAGCTTGGAGCCGCCGCCACACCTCAGCCTCGTCGTGGTTCCCTACCAAGAGGACGAGGAGACGAGCGAGTCCGTCGTGTATGCTATTCGGACAAATAACATCGCCGGGCTGGAGCGGGCGCTCTGCGTGCCGGCAGACCCCAACGGGCCTCCGAATCGCCCTGTCGACCAAGAAACGCCGCTGTTTGCCGCGACGGACCATGGCAGTCCAGCCATGGTGCAACTCCTCATCGACTCCTTGGCAGACCCAAATATCTTGGTATGCAACCGCCGTGGCACGCAGACCACCTGCCTCCATGTGGCCGCGGAGTACGGGTGCGCAACTGTAGTTCGAGCGTGAATCGTGGGCCAGGCCGACGTGGGCAGCTCTGACCAACACGTGCGTTCGCCCATGGAGCTGGCCATCGCTGACGGGAACGAAGAGGCCGCGTGGGAGCTCCGCGCGGCTGGCGCGGCGTGGGACGTCTCCTGGCGAGGTGATGTGAGGAGAGCGGTGCGATCACAGAGGCGGAATTGTGAGCTTCCGGGGTGTCGAATATTCTTCCGAGAGCGACTCCGAACGCATGTCGCCTCGCGGTGATGAGGCCTAAAGCACGGCGCGTCGCCGACTCCCCGTCCGGCGAGGCGGATTGCCGGAACAACCGCAACCGCGCATGCGGTCCGCGGCAGAGGACCGCCGCAAACGTTTGCGACTTACATGTAAAGGGGGGCCGCAGGCCAGCTGGGAGTCATGGCCGCACGAACGGCGGCGCAGAGGCGTAGGCGGGCGGAGACCGAGAGGCGCCGATACACGATAAAGCGTGTAGCCGTGAACCGCGCACTGCTTCCGGAGCTGGTGGATGATGCACTGGCGACATGCGTCCTGCGCCAGCTCTCCGTGGCAATGCGCCCTTCTGGCGCGGGGCAGCTTCCGATGGCCGCGTTCAGACATGTAGAAACTTCGTCTGGCCCTTTATCAAAAGAGCAGCCGCTGTGCAGAGCTTACGGCAGCCGACGCCCGCAGCGCGCCGTAAAAGTGTTTCGGCCGAACGTGTGCTAATGTCGGCTCCGACGGCAACGCCAGGAGAGGCGCGCGTGCGGCTACAGTGCCCCATCTGCCTGGAGGGTATTTGGCCTTGCCAGACTGTGAAGGAAAGCTTCTGCCATCCAATCCATCACGTGCCGCACTCGAACTGCTGGTGGGGTCAGACAGACGAGCAGCAGGAGCGATGCTGCTTTTGTCGACAGAAAGAACTCAGTCGGCCCAAATGCGCTCATGATCTACAACCATTTCCCTGCGAAGGGGCTGCAGCTCAGCTTCGAGGACCTGTGCGGGGAGCCGTCCATGTGCCGGTTCACTCCAGCAGGGCAGGGTCTGGTCCAAGACTTCGTCCGCGGCGAGCTGACAGAGGAAGTGCTCATCCGCATGGCCCATGCAGCGCCTCGCCGCCCCAATGTGGATAACGCAATCAACAGTTTCATCAATGCGTCGCGCAAGAAGCGAAGAACCTGAAGCGGGCATTGACGTTGAACGCGAACTGGTGCAATGACCATGGCGTGGGGCGCGTCTGCGACGGTTGCTGGCCACCGCGAGGTTAGGCGCGTCGACTTCGGTCGACGTCGGTCGGTCGTGCGCACTGCGAAGTGCTGGTCGCCGGATGGAATGACGTCGTAGTACTTGTCCCCCCGGCTGTCGGCCCACATGCGGATCTCTCCTCGCGCGCCGGGCACTGCTTGAGATTTTCCCTTGGGCTCGAGCCGAGTGGCAAGCAGAACGATTTTCTGTCTGGGACTGCACGATACCCCCTAACCGGGCGTGGGGGAGACGCACGTGCAACCCGCCGTTTCTCCTCACGGAACCGGCGCAGAACCCTTGAGTAGGTCGAGGACGCTGGGACGCGGCTCCGCGCTCTCAGAACTGGCGGCGCGGTCCACGAGGCCTTGGCGATATGCTTGTGCAAGATTCCAGCAGTGCTCATTGATGGGCCGATCTTGCTCCGTGTAGCGGCCGCGCTTCTCGGGGGGAACGAGGCCCTGCTCCTTGGCCGCCTGCTGCTTGAACACCTCGGGGGGCGCGACACCGCCCACCAGCCCCCTTTCGGGAAGAAGGGATGGGGGGAGCGATTGAGATACCCGGCACTGCGACCAGGGTGCCGAAGGCCGGTGCAAAGTTCTTGGGCACGGGGTCGGAGCGCTCCTTGAGGAACTGGGCGATTGTCAACGGCCGAGGGTCTGCGTTTGGTAGTGCGTAAGGACCCCCGCGGGCGCGGTGCTGCTTCTCGAAGGCCGCGAAACGCTCGTCTAGGTGCAAAGTACGCTTCTTCGTGAGCGCCGCGGTCAGCGTCTCGGTGAACTTCTCAAGGAGTGACGGGAGCATGCGCCCGATCAATGACTCGCAAGGGCCCGCCTCCGCAACTCCGCCCGCCTCAACGGCCTCGCCAAAGACGCGCATCGGATGGGATTCCGGGAGGCCCTCTTGTGCCAGACGGTTCGCTGCGACTGCAGCCACGAGCGTTACGTCCTCGGACGCCCCCTCACTCGCCTTTTAGCCAGAACCCACTGATCCACGAGTGTACACGCTAATGTGGTTTGAAACCGCTGGGCGGGGTGTAGGAATCATGCGCGGGGGTTGTTGTGCCCGTCTGTCCCCGCCCAGGAAGCGGACCAGCACCTCTGCGGTGCGCTTCCGGAAGTCGGCCGCTGCCTTGCCTGGTAAGAGCATCGCGATCTCGCATATGGATTTCGCGTCCGCGACGTGGGTCTACTTCTGCCGCGCGCCTGGGAACTTGTGCAAGCTTGTGAGCACCTCCGGGTGGCGCTCATGGAGTCTATTCCAGATCATTGAGCAGCCGCTCGCCGAAAGGCGCGTGATTGCTTTGATGACATCAAGGACGCTCACCCGCGGCGGCGCGGCCGTCTTGCGGATTTGCTGTAGGGCGGCGTCGTCGAGTGGCGAGAGGGTTTGCATGGCCACGGGCGGGGCTCGCATCGAAGCAGGCACGGGTGCCTCCTCGACGCTCGGGCCGAGACTGCTGCAACTACCCCCACTCTCCCCAGGCCCTAGAATCAACTAGGGAGGATCCCCCTTCCGAAGTTGGTCGTAGCGCAGCGCCGCCGTGGCGCCTCCGCGCGCACCCCCGCGGCCCTGCGCAGGTTGCAGTGGCCACTTATCGTGGCGTCTGGACTCCGGGGGCCCTTGCGCAGGGAAGTGCAGTGGCCACAAATCGTGGCATCTGGAATCCTGGGGCCCCTGCGCGGGAAGTGCAGTGGCCACAAATCATGGCCTCTGGAATCCTGGGGCCCCCTGCGCGGGAAGTGCAGTGGCCACAAATCGTGGCGTCTGGAAAAACACGCGGCCCTGCGCAGGAATTTCAGTGGCCACGGCGCGTGGCGTCTGGGAAAACCACGCGGTCCTGCGCGGGAATTGCGGTGGCCACAAATCGTGGCGTCTGGAAAAACACGCGGCCCTGCGCAGGAATTGCAGTGGCCACAAATCGTGGCGTCTGGAAAAAAAAACCGCGGCCCTGCGCGGGAATTGCAGTGGCCACAAATCGTGGCCTCTGGAATCCTGGGGCCCCTGCGCGGGGAGTGCAGTGGCCACAAATCGTGGCGTCTGGAAAAACACGCGGCCTTGCGCAGGAATTTCAGCGGCCACGGCGCGTGGCGTCTGGAAAAAACACGCGGCCCTGCGCGGGAATTCCAGCGCGGCGTTGCGAGGGAATTCTTGTGGCCATGGCGCGCGGCGTCTGGAGCAGCGCCGCCCTGCCGACTCGCTCGCGTAGCTCTAGGGCAGGGAAAGATCGCGGGGGTCTTCGTCTGCTCAGCTCGGAGCGCCAAGGGCTGCCGCCGCTTCGGACGACGCAGACTCCTCGCACTGGGGTTGATTGAGGCCGCAGGGGAGATGCTTGACCCCCAGAGTTTTCGCGAGTCGAACAGAAAAAGATTATAACGGGCGGTCCTGACTGCGCATCGCAAATCAGAACGCTTGCATGCAGTATCTTAGCGAAACGCGAAACACATTTGTGTGTCGCACAGTGGCATCCACGCTATGAGTGCCCAGTCCTGCGAAAACTGACGCCGCTCAGACAGATCCAGCGTTGCGCGGGCCTGTTTCATTGGCGTTCGATCGGTCGAATCGCACCCCCCAGTTGGTGCACGCCCGCCCGCACGTCGAGTCGGTAGAGCTTGGCGCGTCCCAGAGCTTGGCTCCCGCAGGAATAAAGTGATGTTCTGGTTGTTGATATTCCTTTTGCTCGCTTGCGCACTCTGTTCGTGGCTGAGGCCCGACAGTGGTCTTGCACAGTCTGCTGCGCGCGCGTTCGATAGCACGGTTGGCTTGCTCAGCCAGCGCAGCACAGATGGCCACTACGACGAAGAGCTACGACCCCCGCCAAGGCCGCCGCCGCCCCGCCAGCGCGTACCGAGCCTGCGTGCGGCCCCCACCGCGGCGAAGCGGCGGCGCTGCACTCCCTTCCAGGCGAAGAGAATCGCTGCGGCGCAAGGCTGGAGGTGCGCATGTGGCTGTGTCGATCCGAGTGACCCGCAAGGCCGCGGCTACTTGCTCGATGAGTCCTTTGAAATTGATCACGTTCGACCATTGAGCGCCGGCGGCTCGAACGACGAGAGCAATCTGCAGGCGCTCTTGAGGACGCACCATCAGGCCAAATCTTCCGCCTTCGCTCGGAGCCGTTGAGATGCAGTCGGCGCCGCTCCTCGTTGGCAAGACGGAGAGTTTAACAGTCGACAGATGTTAAATGAGCGAGGCGTCCCAGTACTTCGCGGCAGAACTCGGCGATGCTACGGGAGAGGTGGAGGCGCGCCTAGTTCAGTGGGGGCAGGGTTGCGTGGAGCACCGATTCGTACGCGATGAATGGAACTGCGCCGCGCTCTACTTCGCTCGTGGAGAAGCCCGGACCGTCCGTCAGATGCAATCGCTCATGAGGACCCTGACGGCGCGTTGGGGGGTCCCCTTGGGCCAGCTGGGCGCCGGGTGGCTGCGCGCTCTGACCCTCGATGAATTCCGCGCCAACGCCCCAGCTGTTGGCGCCAACGAGGGGGGAGAGGGACGAAGCATGAGCGAAGCCGCTGAGCCCCCCCCCCCCCCGCTGGCGTTGGTGAGGCTACCGTGCGCAGCTACTTATATAACGGAACTGCCAGAAGACGTCGGTGCATATATAAATAACGGAACTGCCAGAAGGTTTCGGCGTGCGTTCACATGCACTCCTTGCGACACTGATGGGCCAGGCGGCAGCATGCTGAGCTGAGCTGCTTCGCAGAAGCTCCACAGTGATAGCAAAGCATGTGGGGCGACCTCTCCGCGCTTCCCGCCAGGCGAA